TGTGTTCAGTATTACTTACTGTTGTATCTGTTAAATGTGTGAAATGTTAATAACAACATAGTATTCATAAATAGAAAGTGGCATTTACTTATAATCCAAGATATTGAAGAATGCAGTGCTAGTGAATTGCAAACCTAGCTGATTCTAATATGGGTAGAAATATGTTATTTCAAAAAAATTAAATATGGAATTGGTAGTCATCTAACAGTCTCTTAATACAGTAGTTGTCTATACAGTCAGTAAGCAGACCAAATCAAATTGGAGACCCACATTTGACTTAAAGGGCCCCAGAATTTCTTCATTCACCATGTTGCCATAAACTGCCATAGGGGCTATGATTTGTGCACTGTTTACAGTGCACCTTCCACTAATATTAACCATATAATAGGATTGAGTAAAAGAAATCTGAAAATATAATAGTGACCGACATAAATAATATCTTCAAAGTCATTCAATTCTGAAGGGTCTTGACAACGGTTGTTTCCACTTAGAATTATTTGTTGTCAGGACTTTTTCTATCGTCTATTTTTAAAATTCACGTTGTTTCGGAGGCTGGTTCTGTCTCCGTCTTCAGGTGAGGGGTACCTACTCTGTTGGGTCCCTTAGAAAGAGCTAGTCTCTGTCACTGGACAATATAATTCGTGCAGTTATTTCAACTTATCCACCCAAGTATGGGTTCTGTCATTGGATTATAATACTTATATGATAAAATAAAAATTATAAGAGCGCAGTGATTTTTAAAAACAGATGATGGAAAAAGTCCTGACAACAAATAATTTTAACTTCAAACTCATTGTTCTTTTTCCTATTTGTCTTATCCTAATACTTTTGTCTCTACAGATTCCTCTGAGTGACCACCAACTTTCACATGGTGAGGGGCATCCATATTACTGTGATATGTGCAATAAATCATTCAATCGAAGATGCCAGCTGAAGATTCACCAATGCATACACAGTGGGGAGCGTCCATATGTTTGTGATGTGTGCAATAAATCATTCAATCAAAGAAGTGACCTGAAGAAACATCAACACATACACAGTGGGGAGCATCCATATGCATGTGATGTATGCAATAAATCATTCAATCAAAGCAGCACCCTGAAGATTCATCAGCGCATACACAGTGAGGAGCGTCCATATGCTTGTGATGTGTGCAATAAGTTATTCAATCAAAGAAGGGACCTGAAGATTCATAAATGCATACACAGTGAGGAGCGTCCATATGCTTGTGATGTGTGCAATAAATCATTCAATCAAAGAAGTGACCTGAAGAAACATCAACACATACACAGTGGGGAGCGTCCATATGGCTGTAATGTGTGCAATAAGTCATTCACTCAAAGAAGCCACCTGCATATTCATCAACGCGTACACAGTGGGGAGTGTCCATATGGCTGTAATGTGTGCAATAAATCATTCAGTCAAAGAAATGACCTGAAGAGACATAAGCTCATACACACTGGGGAGCGTCCATATGGCTGTAATGTGTGCAATAAGTCATTCACTCAAAGAAGCCACCTGCATATTCATCAACGCGTACACAGTGGGGAGTGTCCATATGGCTGTGATGTGTGCAATAAATCATTCAGTCAAAGAAATGACCTGAAGAGACATAAGCTCATACACACTGGGGAGCGTCCATATGGCTGTAATGTGTGCAATAAGTCATTCACTCAAAGAAGCCACCTGCATATTCATCAACGCGTACACAGTGGGGAGTGTCCATATGGCTGTGATGTGTGCAATAAATCATTCAGTCAAAGAA